AGTACCTACATCGATTGGCCCACTTAAGTTTCTGTAGAAAAAATATTATGTTAGATTGAGCAATGTTATAAATATTTTTTAAGACTCATGAAATAGATGGTTTATAAATCAGCTTTAAAACTGCGTAAAAGCTTTTTGCTCAATGTAACTTTATTTTTAGTTAGGGACCGTCAAATTAAAACTTAAATACTAGGTGGGCTGATAGATGTGTCTGGAAATATAGTTACCTAAAGTAAATATAAATCCAATTAGAAACTTATAAAGAACATCAACATTGTTTAGCTTGGTAAGACTCTTCCTAAAAGTAGGGCAAAACAGTTCGGCAGGCTTATTACTAGCAGGAATAGATTATGATGACTTTATTTTCTTTGTCTGCCAGGTAGATTATCCAAAAGTATTCGACACATTTTTGTTTTATTATTTAACATAATCAAAAAATTACTAATAAATTAATTGATTTTAAATGTCGCACGACATCATGCCTTGGTGAAATTTTTACTTAGAAGTGACTTCACGAGTCCCCACTTTCAAACTTTAAAGAGTTTTATCTTTGAAATGTTTTGATTGATTGACAAAGAAAAAAAAACGTATCCATTATTTTTTCATACTTTTGTCGGACTACATAGAATTCCGTTTATGTGACCCCGTTGTCACTCCTATCATGTGCCCATATAGGGAAGTTACAGAAGGCAACGAGCAAATAACACTCTGTACCCTTCACTCGCATCGTTTTAAGGTACCAGGGTACCACGGGGTAGGGACTAGGTTTGGGTTCAGTACCCCAAGCTAGAACAACTGGCGAGAAAGTTTTCGTGTCCTCATGTCAAAGTTTCTATGGAAAAAGCTAGTTTGTTCGTACGTCTGTCCGGGTACTATTTAGTTAGAAACTTTGATGTTGGCCATACGAAGACGGATCTACGAGTATCAGAGTTCGTGTTTGGGGTACAGATCGGAAGGTGAGAATAGCTGGAGCGGCACTTATTTCACTTTGGGGTGGGGTAATTTGCTGATTTGAGGAGCTCGATGGCGTGGGTGGTTAGCGCGTTCAGCTGCGATCGTTGAAGTAAGCAAGTTTCGCAGTGCTCGGTCATTGGATGGGTGACCAAAAATCCTCTATCTCGAGTTCCTCCGTGCTTTGAAAGGCACGTTAAGCCGTTGGCCCTGGCTGCATCTGCAGTCGTTAGCACCCGCCAATCCGCACTGGGCTCGCGTGGGGGGTCATGGTCCAATCTCCCTATTCCATCCATAGGGAAGGCCTGTGGCCCAGCAGTGACATTGAAAGACTGATGATGATGATGATGATGAATTTGCTGAACCTGGTTAATAAAACTGTGTTTTTTTAAGAGCCGTTGCTTTGACCAAACCCATATTATATACCTGACTTGAATCAAATATAAAACAATGATGCTTACCGTTGGATTCACGTCTCCAGGTTTGCCTGCTAAAGAATCGGGAGTGGGCTGGAAAGATTTAAATTAATAAATACTTAAATGCTTATTTCTTACACTCGCACCAATTAACCTAGCCTCAAAATAAGCGTTATAAGACTTTGTTCTGGTCTATTATGACCAATTGAACCCCCTTAGGCACGAAAAATTCTCAAAAATGAAATGAATCTTTAAGTTTCAATTTATCTTAAAAATTGCCAGAGTTCCGTACAATCTTTCACCGCCTTTTAAACATTTCGATGGTAAATTTTGGAAAGTATCTATCCTAGCGGATGCCTTATTCGCCAAAGTTATTGCTTGGGCCACAGAGCGGACTAGAAGGTTTGCGACCTGCGAGTAAAGTTAGCGCAATCCGTTTAGTGTTCAGGACCCCTAGCACGAACCATTATCGAATTGGAATAGTTTGCAAACCGAAATGTCAATGTCAAATTTTGTATGGAAACTTGAACAGCAGCGGCACAAAGTACGCAACGAGAACTAAAAATCATTACATATTTGACATTGACATTTTTCATTCGTGCTAGGGGTACAGTACCCCTAGTACGAACCAACATCGAATTCGAATAGTTTGCGAGTGCGAAATGTCAACGTCAAATATGTACTGATTTTTAGTTCTCGGTACGTCCGTTTAAGAGCTGCTGTTTAAGTTTCCATACAAATTTTGACAATAACATTCCGGACTCGCATACTATTCGAATTCGATATTGGTTCGTGCTAAGGGTACTGAGCTGCGAGTTTATTAACATGTCAATCAATCGTTTTATTTCAAGAGATAAAATGTTTATTTTGCCGATTTTTAAAGTTAAACTTTTATTACATCGATACAATTTTTTCGTTCATATTTAGCGTGTCGCATTACCATGTTAACTGTTATTAGAGTCGTAGTAAGCTCGCTTGCTACGCCGCTAACCCGGGTTCGAATCCCACCGGCTGACGGACATTTTTCTTGACACTTGCATCTTGGTTTCATAAAACCACACCAATTTTTAAGTTCTCTATTATTTGGGAAAATAATAAAAAAAAATGATATCTTACGAAAACTCTCGGTGGATAGTGATGTTCTTCTTGAGGAACGAAAGGGTTAGCGTTATATCTACTATCGGCCATGCCCATGCTCTGAAATAGATTTACAATAAAATTAACATTTTTTCAGGGTTCCGTATACAAAGGTTAAAAACGGAACCCGATTACTTAGTGTCGCCGCACACGGGCCACACGCCACAGCCACAAACGCCGGCACGAGAAGCTAGAAGCGGCTACTAAAGTGGCTGAAGCGCGGCGAGCGGCAAGCAGTGTGGCGAGTCCATATAAAATGTATGAAAACTACAAGAAATATGCCGGTGGCGGCATTTTGTGGTTGTGGTCGGTCTCTCTGTCCGTCTTCTAGACTAGCTAGACAGTTAAAATTTTCACAAATGATTTCTGTTTCCACTATAACAACAAACAGTAAAAACAGAATAAAAAAAATGGGTGCGTGTACTTATGTAGGCGCGTGAGAAGTTATCCTTCTTTGGCATCGTTTAAAATTAGTTTTTAATTGCATGCAGATAATTAATTACAATAAATTAATAAAAAGTCTGGAAAAGGACACAGTCAATAAAGTTCAGTTTTAATTTGAAAAAAAAATCAAAATATTCAATTAAAATCGCTACTGAATATAATTTATTAGAACATATGTGATTTGCACTTGTATGAAACTCAAACACGTATTCCGAATATACAAACTAGAAACATGTGGATAAATATTATAAATATGAATACCTATAACTGTTACTTTATTACAAAAAATAAAGATGTGGTTTTTGATTCTACTACACCGATGGTCAAGAGATGGCGCTGTAGTCTCCTGAATCGCGCTTTGGTTCCGTTGTTCCAGATTAATAAATACTTTTTGTTACTTTATTACAAAAAATAAAGATGTGGTTTTTGGTTCTACTACACCAATGGTCAAGAGATGGCGCTGTAGTCTCCTGAATCGCGCTTTGGTTCCGTTGTTCCAGATTAATAAATACTTTTGATAGGCTTTCACAATGCAGTCGTTAGCACCCACTAAATAGAGATTCTATTTCTATTTTGTTGGTAGATTTTCTTAATGTGCGGTAAACACAAAAGTAACGCATGAAGTTGGTCGCTAAAGCGACCAACTTCATTTTGTTAAAATTTTGTGTTACAGTGATGCGCGCGCATCCATCTTAAAATTTCACTCTCATCAAATTTTCATAACGCGCCTAAAGAAGTATAACTTCAATAATATTTATATTTACTTATACAACAAACGTGTTATTTTTCGTTTATTGCTCTATATTAATAACGGCAGAAGTAAACGTAAAGGTCTAGAGGCTCCAGACGGAGAGGAGACTCCCCCCGTGGGGAGATGCCATTAGCCTGAAATACCTCTAGAGGCACTCGCCAATTCTCGGCTTAAGGTCCCCTTAGGATCTTGCCATCCCCAAACCCGGTGACGCTGTAAAGGTCATCTGCGACCCACACTAATAAAAAAAATTGTTGTTTAAGAAAGCATATTATATTGTTAAACAATATTTGAATAACAAAAAAGCCTGATCGTAATTCTAACCTTCATAAAATTTTCAAAGTTATGTTAAACTTGTTTCCTCAAGAGGAGTATTTAAGAAAACATTTCACTTAGTGTCTTTAAGTTCTTAAACTTGCTTATGTATTTCCAAAATTGTTTACTGGATATTTCGGGGTTTTTGTATATTTATTGTTACCTATTTTAAGTGATGGAGGTTGACATCAATACATGTTTAAACGTTTAATGTCAGCTGTTTGATGACACTGTATGAAATAATACAGGGAGAAAAAGCAGCCCTTGCTGGGTTTTATTGTCGGTTCTTCTCAGTACAAGGTCTCCCGCCGTAGATTTGCGAACCGATGCGTAGTTGTCGACTTTCACATGTGCTTGTAAAGCCTTACTGAATAAATGAATATTGAATTTGGATGGAAAATCGAACCTTCCTTCAAGTTGCATGTCCTTCCAAAATGTCTGCCCACACACGGTCAGTTTGGCTCGATTAGGCCTATTTGATCAAGCCACTTGATCAAGCGTCATGCAGGTGAGTGGCTACCATAACCTAAGTAATACCTAACCTAACCAATGAGGTGTCGTTGGGGTTTGTTTATGGGGGTGGTGTTTATGCATTTTAATTAACAAGCTGTTGCCAATTTGATGTTGTACCAATCTTACAGGAGATTAAGTTCAAAAGCGTGAATGTTTATAATGTATAGTGTATGTAGTAATGTATATACCTATGTTTATGTATAGGTACAATTAATCATGACATGCACTTGATTTAGGGTCAAAGTGCCTTGGTAGGAAACAACAACGTTAGAAAAATATTAAGACGTTTCTAAAATATGTTATCTAAAATGATAAAAGACCACAACGAAAGAATGTGCAAGTTAACAATGATTATCGCTATTATATCATTACCTTATCGCATGAATACGATATATGGATCCCACACTACAAAGCACTATAAAGATAAAGTCCTATAACATTCTTACTATGCCTACTCCTATAATAAATAAGAAATAGATAACAATGACTCGATAATACTTAAAAACAACCGACCAGTTTTGTTTGGTATTTTAAATCGGGTAGTCGACACACAAAATATGGGGAAAAAAGTTTTTGTCGTCGGGGTGGGTATGACGAAGTTCGTCAAACCAGGTACCGCTGGTGATTACCCTGATTACGCCAAAAATGCTGTCGTGGACGCCCTAAATGACGCCAATGTCAAATACGAAGATATCCAACAAGCTTTCTGTGGATACGTCTTCGGAGATTCGACCTGCGGTCAACGCGTGCTGTACCAAATCGGAATGACAGGAATACCCATAATCAACGTCAACAACAACTGCTCTACTGGTTCAAACGCTTTGTATCTGTGCAAGAAACTTATAGAAGGAGGCGTCATGGACGTAGGTTTAGCGTTGGGCTTCGAAAAGATGAGCCCTGGTGCTCTCGGCAATGGCGTGTTCACTGATAGAGCCAATCCTTTGGGCAAGCACATAGAAAAGATGGGAGAAATCACAAAAGTTCTCCCCGGTATACTTACTCCACAGTATTTTGGTAACGCGGGATTGGAACACATGAAAAAGTACGGTACAACAGAGGTTCACATAGCGAAGATCGCAGCAAAGAACCACAGACACGGTACGAAAAATCCCAGAGCGCAGAGTAAGAGGGATTACACGATCGAAGAAATCTTGAATTCGAGGAGGATTTACGGTCCACTGACGAAATTGGAGTGTTGTCCTACGAGCGATGGAGCCGGAGCAGCCGTGCTGATGTCCGAAGCGGCTGTGATCAAATATGGTTTACAAAATAAAGCAGTCGAAATTATCGGAATGGAAATGGCGACTGATACACCCGAAGTTTTCGGCGAGAACAGTTTAATGAAGATTGCCGGCAGTGACATGACGGCACTGGCAGCGAAGCGCATTTATGAGAAAACTGGAATTTCTCCGAAACAAGTGGACGTGGTTGAGCTTCACGACTGCTTTGCGACAAATGAAATGATTACTTATGAAGGTCTGCAGTTGTGTGGGGAAGGGGAGGCCGGGAAGTTTATTGATGCTGGTGATAATACGTATGGGGGACAGGTGGTGGTGAATCCAAGCGGTGGTCTGATAGCTAAGGGCCATCCCTTGGGCGCGACGGGGCTGGCGCAGTGCGCGGAGCTAGTGTGGCAGCTCAGGGGAGAGGCTGGCGAAAGGCAGGTCAGTTCGAAGCAAATATATGTTTTTACTTTGATAGTTAACAATTGTTTTTTTTATTATAAGTACAATTTCCTTTTCTCGAGTTTCGCAATTTAGGTAAGTGACAATGTCATAGTTTAATCACTTACTAAGTTGATAAATAAAATCATGACAACTCTTGAAGTTTAATATGTAAAAGAGTAAACTTCCAAGAGTTGTTTGGCTTCATGAAAATGAACTTCGTAAACTATTTGATCTGTTCTATTTTATTATAATATAAAGTAATTACCATTTTTTTAAAAGTATCTATCATCATCATCATCATTAACCTAGTAATGTCCCCATTGCTGGGGCACCGCCATCACTATGGATGGAGACTGAGCCGTGACCCACCGCACGAATCCGTCCGACGTGCTAACGACTACAGATGCAGCCGGGACCAATTGTTTTAGGTGCCTTCCGAAACATTAAGAAGCTCAAGATAATTTGTTTTTGATCACCCATCCAGTCAACTTATATTGTCTTTAGATTTATGAAAATCACCTGATTATGTTTAGTACTTAGATAAAAACAAAAAGAGGTTTAGTAGCGTATAACGCGGCTCAATCACGCGGCAAAGTGTTGCCATAGTGACTTTGGTACAGAAGCACCTGTTATGCCTACAAAACACGTGTAGAAGTGAGGTCACACGCGGGCAAATAGTAGGATGATTGTAAGTATTGGGAATAAAGAAAACATAGTGCCAACTCGAAACAAATACATAAGGTTTATAACACATTTGCTCGTAAAGCGTCTCTTATTGCACCAATTTCAATAACATAATCTATCATATTACACACGCATCACATTACGGTAATGTAAAGTAAAACGCACGGCTTATTATGTTCCGTCTAAAAACGAACGATACTTTTTTAAATCATAGCAAAGAGTTTTTATGTCAGAATGGTAGCCACAATTTTCTTAATAAAATTTACTTTTGGAGATAAAATATATTATATAAACATTTAATTCTTTAATTTGATTCATTCACAAAAATATTAATTTACTTTATTAGTAACACTGGCTTTTTTTTTGTTCCTTTGCCTAAAAAAAAATTATCAAAATTTCATCTTATGGAAAACAAACAAAGGTGCAAATTCATTTTCAGAAAGTACGTACGTAGGTAGTATTATTTCCTCGCAAATGTGTTATAAGACGTTGTATGACATACGTGCGGTTTGATAATTACAGCCTCTGCCTTCTTATTGCCCTCATCTACGGCTAGGGCTAACAATATCGCCTCGGCTGGAATTCTTAACTTACCGCACTTATATCATAATGTACTATTACACCAAAATTGTAGTAATATAATTAACCTATTTCATAGAGATATTAAACAACATCACAACGGGTAGCGTAGAATACTCTATGCCGAAGTAGATGAAGCATTTGTGGTCTTGATATCAGAAATAACGATGGAGCCGCAAACGTCCAAATAGAAGATCTTGACCACTAAAATCCAAACTTTGAACTGACATGCCCCTGTGATGCCCCATGACTTTTGTAACTAACAAGACGCCAAACTATCTTCGAAATTGGACTTTGATACACTTTGTATTGTTACAAGCTAATACACGGGTTGTAAATTTGTTTTATATCTAGTCGTATCGTTATGATAATGATAACCGATAAGAAATTATGTAGGTACTGTTGTTTTTTAATAATAGCGAGGCGACACTAAGGTGTGCTACAGATATTTTTTATTTATTTTTTATTTATTAATTTACAGTCAGGCAACGTAGGCCCATAGATACATAACTTAAAGTCTAACATATATACAGATATAAAACATAGTTAAAAACTGATTGAACACGTATTGACGGCGACGTGTGACGCAGAATGGTGTCCGGTATCCGGCCTCGGAACCGCCGGAACACAGCACCTTTCGGCCAAAGCTCTTCTTTCATAAAGTTCGCTAGGTGTTCGGTTGGTACTCTCACCACGAATGAATTAAAATTCACTTTATGGCGAGATACAGACCGTGCGACTCTCAGGGAGAACTTCGTCTTGATCCGCAGATACTCTACGATCTCCTCTTCCTTCGTAGAGTAATGCAGCCGGGACACGTACAGCGGCGTCGTTGGTATGGCGGGACGCAACAGATGGTTCGGTCCGGTCGGGGTAGCACCACACAGGTTGCGGCGAGCAGGTTTCATCTTCTTCCTTTCAACCTTGATGAAGCCTTCTTCGTCACAATTTAGATTTTGTGATGCTGCCGGAGTAGCACGTTTGTGTTTGCTACTCTTCTCTATTTGTTGTAATATTCGCTCTGGTTTCGAGGCGGCATCGGCAGGTCGAATTGCGGCTGCAGCTGCGTAGGCACGTTGCGGTGTCGAAGTGCGAGCGCGTGACGTCTCCGATATGGTGGCGGCCGGTGACGCACTCGCAGGCGCCGACTCAATACTGCCGACAGATGCATTTTGCGCCCCGCGACGTGTATTTACATTGGAAAACTCGGGTGACCTACTTACACAAGCAGCTTAAAAACTCTACTTGGGCCCGCAACTCACCGATGGTGTTATTCGAGTCCTCCAATTTGCTCACAACTTCGGCCAGGCTTGCTTTCAGGTAGTTGATATCCTTCAGCAGCCTGGTGACGTCAACGTGGTCTTACGTGACAGGGGCAGCTTGTGCAGCTCCTTCGCCACGAACGACGGAACGTCATCAGGGTCGGTCTCCTTCAACACGGTGATGATATCCTGGATACTCTTTTCTGTTCCATCTCTCCGGCGAGATGGCATCTGGTCAGCCTTGCCAACGGACCGGAAGAGCAGCGCCTTACCACTGCATACCTCATCTTCCTTAAAGCTTGATTTACAAATCTGCAAGATGCTGACCTCGTCCATTTTATATATTGCATTTTGTATAAATGCTAACAGTTCGTTAGCTATGAGTTGTTGGGAGCTCATAGCCGTACACTCGCACAACGGCTGTTGCCGTGTGAGACGCGAATTAATAACTTCTCACGGCACAGTGGCGCACGTCCGTTTCCAACCGTGCATCGCACCGCACTGATTTTGGCTGCACTATCACCTCCTCCATCATCAGCCTATTAATGTTCCCACTGCTGTAGGCACAGGCCTTCCCTATGGATGGAATAGGGAGATTGGGCCATGACCCACCACGCAGGCCCAGTGGGTGCCGATGAGCCTAGCCGCAAAGTAAGCACTATAAGGCTTGTGTTATGGGATACTAGGGTAATGGATAGAATGCATAATACTGATACATATTTTTATTTAGAAATATATATAAGCTGCTGAGGAGCTCGGTGGCGCAAGTGGTAAGCGCGTTCCGCTGCGATTGTGGAAGTTAAGCAACTTTCGCAGTGGTCGGTGATTGGATGGGTGACCAAAAATTTACTATCACGAGCTACTCCGTGCTTCGGAAGGCACGTTTAGCTGTTGGTCCCGGTTGCATCTGCAGTCGTTAGCATCCACCAATCCGCACTGGGCCCGCGTGGTGGGTCATGGCCCAATCTCCCTATACCATCCATAGAGAAGGCCTGTGCCCAAGCAGTGGGGACATTAATAGGCTGATGATGATGATAAGCAATGCTCGTATTCATCCCATAAACATTTGCTCCACTCGGATTCGAACTACGCCGCTTTTCAAGGTGTCGCCTACGCTGGAGCCACGAAGGTCGTCAAAATAAAATAATTTAAGTATTGATTATATTAACACGTTTTTATTTGTTTATTTCAAAGGTGAAAGACGCCCGCATCGCTCTTCAACACAACCTTGGACTCGGAGGGGCTGTGGTCGTCACCATGTACAAGAAAGGATTCTCCAATGTTACTCCAAGGCCACTCTCCAAGTTATAATTATTAAAATAAATAATTTACATATATTCATAAATCTCATTATTTCCTCACAAATTACGTCGTCGTGGTATTGTTGTTAGAATGTAGAATTATGAGGTTGTGGAAGTTAAGTAACTTCTGTAATATGTCGTCATGAAATAAGTGACCAAAAATCTATAGATTACACTGATTTTTGTTGTTATTGCATTTAATTTTTGAACCTACATTTGAACGTAAACGGTGGTATGAATCAAAGTATTCATTTGTATGAAAAAAGCTCTCGTATTTTTGTATTACATTTTTTTCACTTTGTTCATTAGCAAATTATGTAAGTGTCAAGTCGAAGCGAGACCTGGCTATCGTTAATAAAAAATATCTTACATACTTTTAAATCATCGTTACCGAAGAATTCTGGATACTTTTGACAGTGAACTATTAATAAAACACTTAAAACACCAAGAGAAAACACCAACATAGCAAAGATGCAATCAAACGAATGATCAAAAACCGTGACTGTGGCCAAAGTTGTTGGGACCATGACAATTGAAAATAATAGGATGTCTGATAATGAGATGTCTGAAAATAAACATCAAGAAAGAGTTAAACACGAAAATGTGCACGAGTTAGATTTTTACAAGTAGTTAGCTGTTACAAGCACTTGTGAAGGTCAAGAAGCTACACCATCGGTTCGCAAAACTACGGCGGGAGACCTGAAGAGAGAAGAAACAGCAAGAAACTCAGCAAGGGCTGCTTTTTTCTCCCTGTATTGATATATACAGAGTCGTCAAGTTGAAAAATGACTTCAGAAGTATCTCAGTAAGATTCACCTTCCGTTACATCATTGAGGATATAGATGTATAGTTACAATAAATTTTATATTTAATTTAATAGGAAGCGGCATTAGATAGGTACCATATTACTGTTACAAAAACTGACTAATACCCATCAAATAACAAATTACAAGAAATACTATGTCCATGCATTACGATCATTTAGATAATCATTAACTTTATAAAAGCATTTATTCACAAGAGTGTTTTTAATCTGAGATTTGGAAGCTCAATCAGATCTTGGGGAACTTTGCTAAACAATGCAATACTACATCCCAGAATTGAACCTCTTGACTTTTGGAGTCTGAAACATGGAACGGCAAGCTTGTTCTTAAATCTCGTGTTAAAGTTATGGGATTGACTTTTTTTTGCAAATGCGTCATATTTTTCCTGACCATCAACAGTGAACTAAGATAGGCTGTTGATAATGATGATGATGAAAGGGGTCTTGGTATTGCGTCCACGTTTATATTATATCTGTTCAAGAATTTTTCACTAAATTATTAATGTGAATTTTTTTATGTTAAAAAATGGCAAACATCCTTATGGCCCACAGAACAGAAAAAAATATTCTGTGGTATGGCCCTCCTGATGGTAAGCGGCCACAATAGCCTATAGATGCTTATGATACCAAAAATATCACTCTCACCGTTGCCTACACTGACCTAGTCCCCTGCCCCGTAGAGCCCTGAAACCAGGTTTGTATTATACGTATAACCGTTCAAACAGTGTTTTACTAAGTAATCGGTGTGCGTAAAAACATATTCAGTAATAAATATCACGATGGAGTCGGTTATCTTCATTTCTTAAATTGTCGTCCAATCCTAGTACAAGTCCTAGTTTGAGGTATAAACAAACCCATGTTTCATTTAAAACGTACCAGGGAATCCAATATTTTTTTATCTATAAGAGACGTTACACCCTCCTCAAAGACCGGGAGTACCGTGAACAGGGTATAAGAAGACTCCACCCCGCTCATTTCATCCAGTCCCATGGCTCAAGTTTGAAGTATAAACAAACCGATGTGTCATTTGAAATGTATCCTGGGTATCTTAGTTATTTTTATATCTGAAAAAGGCGTTGCGCAGCCTCTCTGAAGGCTTCACCCCGCTGATTTCATACAGCCCCAGGCACGGTAATATTATCTATACAGTATTGTGACTCCGCCCTGTCCTTGAAATAAATGCCTACGGCCGAGCGCTGCGTTAGCACGCGGTAGGGCCGCCCGCCTACAGTATTTTAATTTCATATACATAATTGAGTTTCTTTCTAATTTTGTGATTGTAAATATTTTATTTTATATGGAAAGATTCTCTGAAAGCCCATATATACCCATATCGTAGGAACGCATTAAAAATAACTATTCCGCCATGTTGGATTTAGAATGACGTCACACAGCTAACCGTGCTTTTTAATCAAAACGTGTATATACAAAATTTCAGCTCAACCGGTTGAAGATATCTGCTTCAAAATTGAGTTTCAAGATTCCACCCGAACAAACAAAGTTATATACGTACCTATATTGCAAGTTAATATTTACAATACAAAACGCACGTTTAAGCACGGCTAACTGCATAAAAAACAATTCACACCGTTCTGTAGTCATTGCGGCGCGGCGGCGCATTCGCGACTGGGTGCCCGCCGAGAGCCCCTCGAACTCGAGTGGCGTAGGTATGACTCGCTTTCCGACCGTTTGTATGAAGATAAAATACTGTATAGATATTATTACCGTGCCCCAGTGCTCGTTAAAATGAGCGGGGCCCTACCCATTAAAAATCAGATAATACTCCTGCATCTACCCCCCAGTATATGTTCATTACGGGGACCGAAGTCCACGGAATGTGTACAGCACCCTTAGCACGAACCAATATCGAATTCGTAACGTTTGCGAATACGAAATGTCATTGTCAAATGTGTACTGATTTTTAGTTCTCGTTACGTCCACTTTGGCACTGCTATTCAAGTTTCCATACAAAATTTGACAATGACATTTTAGACTCGCAAACTATTAGAATTCGATAATGGTTCGTGCTTGGTGTACTGAAGGGGGAGGAAATGTGTGGCTCTGGATTGGAAATCACCATGGTCCACCCCCCATAGATGATTGTCCGTTGCCGGACCCACCACGCTGAGCGATTCCTCAGAGTATCAGGGGCACCACCCATTCAAAGAAACTGGTGCAATGCAGACTGGCGCTCCCACACCAACCCGCTGGTTGCCGGAAGCATACTTATATTTTTAATCTGTCGCTGAAAAGTTACGCAACGGGTAATTCTAAAGTAATTAGTATTTTTTTAAGAATACCTTGTCAAATAAAATATTCCATAAAATTTTAAAAATATTGGTATTCATCCCCTGACCCACCCTGACCGAATAGCCGAATATTAGGCAAAAGTATTCAGCTGGATTTTAGCGCCAAAAACTTGTACAAACGTGATTGTTTCTCGCTCCTTTGTTTGCAGTGCAATTCAGTCGAACGCAGTTTCAACAGAAATGGATCTTTTCTTAAATATTAGTAATATATCACGTCATGACAACCCGTATACATGGTGGCAGCAAGGAAATTTGAATTTCCGTGTTTGATTAAGATTGCAGCAAAATATTTGTCGGCGCCAGGAAGTAGTGTTTATTCAGAGCGCCTTTTCTCTGAAGCTGGAATGGTCTAACGAGAAAAAAGAAGTTCTACTTCTTCCTAAAAATGCAGAAAATTTTGTCTTTCTGCACCATAACCTTCCAAATTTTGATTATGAAAATAATTCAAATGCATAGAAAAATTCTTAACTTGTTTAATACAGAATATGATTAAATTATGTACCTGCTTTATGTACCAATGACTATTTAATAAATGATTATAAAAGAAATGAGAACCTTACCCTTTTAAATTTTGATTACCACAATAATTCAAATACATAGAATCCTCCATTTTTCCAATTCAAAAAATGATTATATACCTGTGTTATGTACCAATGACTACTTTAATGATTATTTATAACAGAAATGAAAATATGAATATATACGTAATCAATCGATATTAATTTTTCATTTTACCAATTATTTCTCTATGACCAAATATATTATTTCAGTATTCGGTATTCGGCCGAATAATATGTAGGTGTTCGGTATTCGGCCGAATAATATGTATTAGGTATATTATAGGTACGGCCGAATATAATAAAAGCAGCCGAATAGGCCGAATACCGAATAGTAACCGAATATTCGTTGCAGGTCTAGAAATCGGATATTTGATGAACATAAAAGGAAGTAGGTTTTTCACCTCTTTGATTTCAACATTTACTTTCACAACTTGGACATTTTCTTTGGCTGATAAGAAGTGAATCCTTTCTTGTACATTGCTACGACGACTGCCCCTCCTAGTCCCAAGTTGTGCTGCAGACCTATCCTAGGATTTGGTACCTGAAAAAAAAACTTTTGTCAGAATTCAGAACTTCCACCTAACACCTTCGAGTAAAAACTTGTTTGTAAAGACCAAGTTAATTGGACAGCCTCTCGTCCACATTTATTTAATTTTTCAATAGGTTTCTTCCATACATATATATTCAGTGTTATAAAAGTTACCCATTTTATCTTTAAGTCTTTATGATATGTATATAACGACTATGTTTTATAACTATGTTAGTTAGGTATAACCCGTGGGTATAACTCTCTATGCTAAATGGACACAAATATATAACTGTAAATTATTTGAGTCTATCAAACTTTAGTCATGAGAGGTGTAGTGTACCTACTTAAAACAAATAGTTATATTCTTTAATTTAATACATGTTTTTCTATAATTTATGTTAAAAGTAAAAATTAAAACACTTATTATAAAATACATTTACATCTGAGAAACTCACACCTAATGCTATAAGAGGTATTACTCAACATTATTAAAAGTTATACAAATCATTTAAAACTTGACTTGAGCTTTAGATTCTGAATGACGCCACAAGAAATACGTATAAAGACTCTTTGGAACTAACCTGTCTCTCTCCAGCCTCGCCTCTGAGCTGCCACACCAGCTCTGCGCACTGGGCCAGCCCCGTCGCCCCCAGGGGATGCCCCTTAGCTATCAATCCACCGCTTGGGTTAACCACCACCTGCCCTCCATACGTATTATCGCCAGCGTCAATAAACTTTCCAGCTTCCCCTTCCCCACAAAGCTGCAAACCTTCATAAGTTATAATTTCATTTGTAGCAAAGCAATCATGCAGCTCTACCACATCTACTTGCTTTGGAGACACCCCAGTCTTTTCATACAGCCTTTTAGAAGCATCAACGGTCATATCGTATCCAACTAACTTAATGAAACTCTTCTCTCTGAACAAAGAAGGCGTGTCAGTTGCCATTTCCATGCCTAATATCTGCACCGCTTTGTGTTGAAGACCGAATTGCAAGACAGCATCTTCGGACATAAGTATCGCCGCTCCGGCCCCATCACTTGTAGGGCAGCACTCCAATTTCGTCAGTGGTCCGTAAATCTTTCTAGATTGCAAGATTTCGTCAACATTGTAAGCTCTCTTGCTTTGTGCTCGAGGATTTCTAGCTCCGTGGCGATGATTCTTTGCAGCCACCTTAGCAATGTGCAGCTCTGTCGTGCCATATTTCTTCATATGTTCTAAGCCAGCGTTCCCGAAATACTGCGGCGTCATCGGTCCGGGTAAAATCTTCGTCATTTCCTTCATCTTTGCAATGTGTTTCTCTAGAGGAGCCGATCTGTCTGTAAAGTTGCCTCTGAGGGGGCCTTGTCTCATTTTCTCAAAACCGAGCACCATTATTATATCAGCTATGTTGCCTTCTATAAGTTGTTTGGCCAGGAATAACGCACTGGAGCCTGTTGCGCAATTGTTATTGACGTTGTGTATTGGTATTCCTGTCATCCCAATTTGATATACAACTCTTTGGCCACTTGTTGAGTCTCCCGATGCGTAAGCGCACACGCATTGTTCTATGTTTTCGTATTTTATCCCAGCATCTTTTATAGCATCCAGAGCTGCTTGTTTGGCGAATTCTGGATAATCCCCACCAGTGTTTGGCTTCACGAAGTTCGTCATACCAACACCGACAACAAATACATTTCTCGTCATTATGAAACAAGTTACACGACTTATCAACAACACGCGAAACAAGAGAGTAAAATTAAATACATGATTGTGCTATCAGTAGGTAAATATTGTTTTTATCTTCTCTCTGATAATTATGAACGTGAACATTATAAAAGTTTACTCTCTCACATAGCGTTTCTCTATATCTAATATTTTTTACGTTACAGCACAAAGAAACTGAATATTTATACTTATTCTCCAGAGCAAAGGTATCGTTGAGTTTCTTTTTCTTCGCGGCACACTGTTTTCATTTGAATAATGCTGCTATTTGTGAACTGTCTGCAAAAATAATTTATCTAACTTAGGTTACCAGAACTCCACAGAAACTGGGTTAATTTAAAGAATACACAGCTTAGGTAACTGATCACATTATTTGTCGAATCACATTACATGTATATACAGCGTAATCGTTTACAAGTGGTCATTTTTCTATTCGAGCGAATGCTAATGCTATAATTAAACGATAATTCTCATAAAATTATGTGTCGCAATCTTGTTAATTACTTACCATAAATAAAGTGTTTCTGCATGAAAAAACTGCGTGAAAAAAATAAAGCTTTAAACGAATTATTTTTAAGAATACCGATTCTTTTACCCAAGGGATCCTAAGACCACTGTCCGTCTGTCTGTCACGGCTCTATCTCATAGACAGTGATAGCTAGCCAGTTGAATTGTTCACAGAAAATGTATTTCTGTTGCTGCTATAACAACAAATACTGAAAAAATAATCGTACTATTCGTAAGTGGAATTATTTGTCCGCGCACGTGTTCCCTCCTTCCTACAATCTGGGGTCATTTAAGAGAGGCGTGAAGAAGCATTTCTGCGGGCCGACAAGGTGAGAATGGTTGGTTATAACTGCTGTGCCAGCTATCTTCGCGTTTGGACTATATAGTGATACAGTCCAAGAAGTGACTTAACATCAGGTGGGATAAAGTCATTTGCCTACCTGGCTATAAAAAAACAGAATATAATAAATATATAAAGGAAGCTCCCACACAACAAACGTGATATTTTTGCTATTCTGTGCTCTATATAACTAGCGGCAACAGGTGGACGCTTGAAATATTTACAGAATATTTAGTTGTTATTCACTTTAAAAAATAAATAATTATTTAAGGGGGCTCCCATACAACAGACGTGATTTTTTGCCTTTTTTGCTCGATATTATAAATATTGTACGAGTATAAATGGTACGGGACCCATCGTGCGCGAGTTCGACTCGTTCTTGGCCGGTTTTTCATTGCTTATTTTTGAGCTTAAAAATTAGCGTTATCCTTGAAAACAAAAAGAAATAATGCCACTTACTAAAACCCTAAATTTAACATTATAACGGCATTGAGGAGGAGCGTGAGGTGACCGTGAAGAGCGCGAGTGGTTAGCGCGTTCGGCTGCGATTGTTGAAGTTAAGCAACTTTCGCAGTGGTCGGTCATTGGATGGGTGACCAAATATTTACTATCTCGAGCTCCTCCGTGCTTCATAAGGTACGTTAAGCTGTTGGTCCCGGCTGCATCTGCAGTCGTTAGCACCCACCGATGCGCACTGGGCCCGCGTGGTGGGTTCATGGCGCAATCTCGCTATTCCATCCATAGGGAAGGCCTGTGCCCCAGCAGTGGGGACATTAATAAGCTGATAATGAACGGTATTGTGTTTATTGTTAAAGGTATTATTAATGACAGAAATACCAAAACAAAATTACTGCGCGCAAACAGAACTCGTAAGTTCATCTTTTTAATAACTTCATGCAAAAGCAAGCAGCTCTAACTAATTCAAAAACACAATACTTGCTTAAGAAAAAAAGTGAAGCAAAGATTATAGTTTGTCTAACGAGATAGAACTCTATGAATAACTTTGTATAAACCTTTCTTTAATCTGAAAGGCAAACGGGAATGTTGAAGCGTTTCATTCGTGACTACAAAGAATGTCTCTTTGCATTAAACTTTTCTAGATTTAAGTGAGGGTTGTATTTACACACCACTCGCTATTCAAACGTAAAAAAGATTTACGTCTCAATTTGGAAATATAGAACACTTATGCCTTTGCATCTATTATTTTTTTAAAGAGAGAAGCTATTATCAGTCTTCCCTCCATCTTGAAATAATTAAACAGTTCTGTGATAATTTATTTGAAAATCTTGTAAATTGCCTACGTATTTCTCATTCATCACATCACCATTATCAGCCGATGGACATAGGCCTCCTCTAGGGACTTCCAAACACAACGGCTGTGCGCTTTCTGCATCCAGTGGGTCACCCCGACTCGCTTAATGTCGTCGGGCCACCTGGTGACGGGTCTACCGATACTGCGCTTCCCTGTATGAGATAGCCATTGAAGCATCCTTGGATTCTTAAATTCATTATTTTTGTGTTTACAATTCAAGGGTGTCCCTTTTCTGGGCAGAATCTTTGGTTTTTTGTTTCCACATTATATTCGAAAGCATCCAAGTTCGTCTCACCATCTCTCTCGAGATCTTTGGCATCGCTGGAGTCTGTTTCGTTGAAACCAATTTTCTAGATATTTTGGTCCATATACCTATAATCCAGAACAAACACACTTCAAACTTGGCATCAAATTCGATTATGTCCGTAATTTGAATTTCGAAGTAAAACATTATAGAGTACTAGCTTCCGACCGCGGCTTTGCGGCCCGTTAACCTCACTTTCTTGATTATTTTCTGTAAAAAAACCTTCTACAAACCTCTCACCTGCGTGACCCAATATGCTCTGTTGTGATGGCTGAATTCAGCCACCGCACAGAAATAAGTATGAAAACTTAAAAAAAAAAGATGGATGAAATAGTTGCTGGCCTAACCCAAAACCCTACCTTGCGGGACCCTTGGAATTTTTCTTACCGACACAAACACAACGCCCTTTAAGAAACCATGAAGTAAGTGGTAATAAAAAAAACACTGTCGTCTAATGACTGTAAGAAGGAGGTCACCATCGGAAAACTCGCTTTTTTTTAACTCTCTGCTTCTGACTTGTGAATTTGTCGATTTGAATGTGAAAACCAAGAAAGAGATTTCCATAATTACATCCTCAGGTTAAATAAAACACTTGTAAAATGCCATTAACGGACCTTCTCTGAAGATTTCACGGAAAGAGCATACTTTATAGGCAGCCCATTAACCAAATGCACGAAATCACAATCAAAGTGAATAAAAAAACGCTTTCAGAAATCAGTGTAAGAAAAGCTAAGGGTACTCATTAAGCAATTTTGTGTCTTTACTTTACTAATAAGAAAAATGGACTTTCTACAGTCATAAATATAACACCACCAAAAGGTACTGTTATTTCATGCCGTCTTCTAAAATAAAGATGATGACAAACTGTTTTCCTCCGTGAATTAGGTAGATTACCAACACTCACACCAATTAGCCTAGCCCCAAAGTAAGCACTGTAAGGCTTGTGTTTTGAGATGCTTGGGTAATGAATACAATACATATACTGTACATATATAAGTATATTTATATAGAAATACATATTAAACATCCATAACTGGAGTACAAAAGCTCGTATTCATCACACAAACTCTGCCCCCACCGGGATTCGAACCCGGGACCTTTCTTCTGCTTTATGCTTGGAGCTATTTGTTGGAAGTCAGAAATGATTGCCTCTCTGTTGTCGAGGCTTTCTGGAACAAAAACCTCATTTCGCAAAATTCAGTTCCAGGCCTATTTTGCTGAATTCGTTGGTTAGCACACTAAAATCAGAGAGGACAGTGGTCACGTCGCCTCCTAGGATGCCATCATTAAGATACCACATATTTAATTTATAATTAAGAAGATGATTGGGTGTATAGCCAAACTAAAAATGGCTGGGCCGAGAGGGACACCATGCTGGTATCCGACTGAGGAGGAGGTATGCTGTAGCACTGCCACCCACATAAAGTTATATAAGGCTGGAGCCCTCAGTCTGATTTGTGAGCATGGTGTCCCTATCAACGGCATTAAAAGCGTTTTTGACGTCGGCTTTTAAGATTACCTCACCACCCTTGGACTCTACAAAGGCTTGGAGCGAATGTACGGCAGCCTCGCAGCCGCCTTTAGAGCCAAACCCGAGTTATAAGTCTTGATCGTTTCCGCTGAAGCTTTGCAGCAGATCTTAGCTACGAGACGTCGATACGTCGAACCTAAGGGCGCATAAATTGGCTCCATATAGTAGATCCACGATATCGGTGGCAACTTTCCCGCTCAGCATCAAATTGCACAGTGAGGTAATGGCCTCAAGCAAAGACTCGCCGGCTTCACCACAGCATCCACTGGTAAGGTCCTTAAGGTGCTGTGGGGATAGGCCATCAATCCTGGAAGAGAGGAAGAAAGTGCAGAGCGGATAGCCTCTTTGATAAGTGGGACATGGTGTTTTAAATGGGCAATTTGGAGCAAAAATGTTCAGATGTGTGTAAATTTTGTTGCGGACACGGATGGGGAACAGATAAGAAGGCTGGTGTTGAGCTATGTATATTAAGAGATTTCTGGCATTTACCAATATGGATACGTAAGCCTCTCCTTCCTTCACCTTTGAAAAAGCGGGGCTGCGCGCAGAGCCTGCACTGGACATGGTTCTCCAGCGATGCGTTGGCAGAAGAAGTTCTTGCGTCTTGGCTTTGCATAAAACTTATCACTAATTCAAACAAAAGAAAAATTTGTAAAAAAGCACTTAAAAATATAATATAATAGAATTGGCGATTGTCAGTTTTGGCAGCAGCAGCAGTGCGCAGGCGCAGACTGACACCACGCATCTTGATGGCTGCTCGCGCAGGAGGACTCCGTAGAGCTATGTCTTCTGGAGCTATGTGGTAACTAGGCAACCCGCGACAACGCTTATGGTCTCCAGGGCAACCCTATGGCGTCGCGGTTGTCAAGTAGAGCAGCGCCGATCAGCTGATTGATTCAAAATTGGGGAGTCAAAACACGCCACACGACACCGACCACACACTCCGGACAAGAAGCGGCCCCAACGGACGCCAAACACGGGTCCTTAG